TTGATGATGAGAAGAATTGATTGACGGAGAAGGTAAGGCAAGGAAGAAGGAGGAGAAAGGGTGCCTGTTGGGTTCGATTGAACCCAGCACCTGGGTTCCTTTGAAGAATTGATGTTGGATGAGGAAGGAGAAGGTGATGTTTGATGAAAATATATATATATATATATGTGTGTGTGTGTGTGTTTTTATGGATTTTGTTGTTTGATGAAGAATTGATCGATGAATATGAAGATAAAGATGAAGATGAAGAATTGATCGACGAAGATGGCAAGGAAAGGAACAGGAAGGTGAAAGAGAAAGTGGAGGAAAAAAGAAAAATTTTTAAATTTTTATTGCCAAATCATTTTTTTTGCCATGCTGGATTTCCACGTAGGTTTAGTATTTTAACAGATCATTATACTTCCGTTAGTTAACAGTACACGTCATGCGATTTTTAACGGAGGGACCAAGTCGGGATTAAAATGGTAAACAGTAGTGACCAAGTTAGGGATTTTTTGAGTTGAGGGACTCAATCGGGGATCCGTATGATAGTTGAGGGACCAAAAAGGGGGTTTAACATAATAAAAAACAAAAAAAACTGCAACTGCAACATAATACAGACAAATGAAGCATTTACTTTTATATATACAAGTTACATCACGAGTAATCGTTTTCTTTTGGGATTTCCCTTTGTGAAGATACTTTATATCTTGAAAAAAATATCTTACATTTTTGGATTTTAAAGAAAAAGATACAAAAATATTCATAAAATTTTTTAAATATTTTTAATAAATATTATTGCATCTTTATTTATTTTGAGTATTTAATTATAATTTAATAAGAATTCTTACATTAATTTTTTTAGGAGAGTATGAAAATCCACAACTCTTGCCTTTTTTTATATTTTCTCTTTTCCCTGCTTTACAATAATCATAGGATAATTAATTAAAATAAATAAATAATAAAAAATTAAAATAAAAAAATTATTTATTTTAAAAAATAAAAAATAATAATTAATTTACGATAGATTTAAAATAAACATAATAATTATTTAAAAGTAAAAATTACGTATTGTTTTGAATCATTTTTATTTTTATTTATTTTTTGGTTTTTTATATAAGGAGGCAGTGCTTAGAAATAAATTTCAAGGGAGGCTCGTGACTTTGGGATGACAATTTTACGTACACCCGATAAGTTTTTGTATTTTTCATTCATTAAGGGACCCGGTATGGGTAAGAAAAGTATCAATTTAAGTTTAATTTTTTTATTTATAATCAAAATATCTCTAAATCAATTTTTATATATTTTAAAATTATTTTTAAAATAATCTTTTATATTAACTTTAAAACTTTAATCTAAACTTAATCTACAAACGCAATAATATGAATAGTGAAAAATCATCAATAAGTCAATAATCACGGTTCAATGAAAGCGGCAAACCAAGCAATATCAAGACTAAAATTAAGCTGCGCTGGTAGCGTGGCACAATAATGAGCCTTTGAATCAATTATTTCTATATTTTTTATTGTTATAATTATTACTTTGATTTTTTTCCTTGAACAGTCTTTTAAATACAAACATAAATTAAAAAAATTTTCTTTTAATATGAATTAGGGAGATGAAATGATTTTTGAACATTTTATAAATTATTTTAAATAATATTTATTTATCAATAAATTTAAATCTTTTAATTTAAATTCAGCTTTAATGCAAAAGGTGAAATGTTTCGTAAAAATAATAATAATAAAAGTAAAAACACAATAATGTAATAGTTAAACTTGCCCAATTACTCGGTAAATTACCCATTGCCCAAACGATAAAGGTAAAGATTAAGGGTAAGGGTAATAGATATTTTACTCGAAAGATAATGGACAGATAAACATTAGAAAAAAAAAAAAAAATACAAAAAGTATGTGTAAGGGTAATGTATTGTCTGGCCCATCGTCATTTCTATGCTCGTCACCTAGATACACCTAATGCATTGCAATATATATTTTCTTTCGAAAGATTATAATGTTAATGGTTTGTTATTATAAGAATTTAAACTTTTCAGTTTTCACATTAATTTCAAATTAAAATTTTAATTTGACACTTAAAAACTTTTAAATTTTTAGTAATAATATATTATTGGTAACATAGTGAAGATTGCATTGTTATTGTTTACTAGTTTTTTTTTTTAACCTATGCATTGCACGGGATTATTTTGATGTCTTTTATATTAATTATTTAATTTTATAATAATTTTTTAATCAAAAATTTTTAATTAATTTAAATATTAAGAAATTATTAATAGAAATAAGTGTTTTTTATTTTAAATTTATCTTAAATTAATTGAAATAAGTGTTTTTTATTTTAAATTTGTCTTAAATTAATTTGTCATCATTTTTATTTTTAAGGTAGATATATTTTTTTCCTATGTTCTTATCAT